TATGTTATGGTTATCTAAGTTATTTGCGATATTATTATCTCTACATAAATGTACACAGTCCACCTAAATTTTTGTCACTTACGCTTTAGATGTATGAAAATATTTTAAAATCAGTGCTTTAGTGAAGGAAGTTGAAACGCAGTGTTATTTGATGTTAAATTCCTATCATCTTCCTAAGCGCATTCATTATATCAAATGAAATTACCACCTGAAAGTTAAGGTAATCATATGTTATCCATATCTATAAACCATGATCAGGCAAGGCCTTCTTGATGGGAGAAGGTCGAATTCAAAGGGTTCTTCCCTGATGTGACTTCACGAGCGAGGGCAATCATACTAAGGCCATCTTCTAAGTATGAGTGTAAACAGAGCGTAAAATTAACCTAGAAGTTATGTAGCATTAACTATTCCTTAACTAGAGTAAGTTTAATTTTTAGCAAGATGTATCGAAAGTTAAGTTTATTTACTAGCTCACTTTAATGTTTTCCTTTAATTCATTCTGTTTGACCTGTACTTCTTAAAGTTAGTTCGTGATACAAAACAAATATTTTTATGATAAATCCAAGCTAAAGAGACTCCCCCCAATTTTTATTCATGTTCTAATACATATTTATTACATATGCCATAACAAGTATGCCATAACACTCATGTTAAATATTATAACAATCTAGTAAATTTCTTTTGTATCTTTCATTTTCAAACTATGTATCAAACATAAATCTCATAATGCTTTATCAGAATAATTCCTTCTTCTAAATTAGACAAGAATAAGATTTCAAGAATTAAAAAAAATTCTTGAAAGTTTAAAAATATTGAGTTCGAGCTTCTATATATATTTCGTACATTCACTAAGCTTAAATAGGAGTGCATTAATAATTATAGTCTACAGCATATTAATTATATAAAATTAAATAATTCACTGTAATTCCTTTAGTAATTCAATTAAGGTGCATAATACAGTGTTAATTGAATTTTTATAGATTCCGCGAAAATTGCGTTCCGGGATGCAAGTCAAATTACTATCCAAATAAGCTTTAAATTTTTATATAGTGAAAATTATTCAATGATAAATAACTGGAGAGTGTTTTTATTTTGATATGCAGTATGAAGTAATAAGTATATTAGATTTTAATTTGTTTAATAATATAGGTGTATTTACTATTTTGGTGTGTATGGTGTGGTGTATTTAATTATGGCAAAGCACACTAGGGCTATCTGCCTAAGGGGAGGGATGCCTTCGTAGAGGACTTTCTAAGGGAAACTTTCTCGTATACACGTAACACATGGGGAAAACCACGAAAACGCCCATGCAGCCAGCCCGTTCGCGGGATTCGAACCTCGGACCGAACTACCAGTGTTCAGCGACTTTACCGCTCGGCCGCTGGTGGGCCATTTTCTTTTTTGGAAAACATTACATATACATATATGTGTGTGTTTCAGCATGTATTTCTGAATGTTAAAATAAAAGGAATAATCTGTATTGTATATTATGAAGTTACATCTAAAATAATGAACTCAGATTTTGTATTCATTTTATATGAGTGAAAAATTTATGTATAAATCAAATAATAAAGAAATGGAATGCGTTTATAATTGTGTTGTTCCCAGATAACATATTTTTATCTTAAAATTATCTGATATAAACAATTATATGTAAATAATAAGAAAACTTCTCTGAGAAGCATAACTTTCTGTTGAATATCAATCTTTTGACTAAACCTGAAATATAAATTTTTGAAGCTTTCGAATTTCCGGGTAATGTTTTTTATATGAGAGAGCAAAAACATAGTTTTTTGTATTGCTTGGAAATAAGTGAAAATATTTAGTTATGATTTAATTTTGAATGCCAGTCACACTGCGGTTAAAAATTTGGTATAATATTCATTTTAACCGCTGTAGAACTATTTGATTTTGCAGTGTTTAATGCTATTAAATTGCACATAATGTTATGTAACAAAAATATAGTATTGTAAAAAATGTTACTGATTAGGAAGCAAAAATTAATATTATTTAAGAAACTCCCCTCAGATGCAACCCCATCGTCTAACTGTAAAAGATTAGTACTCAGTTCTTCAGTATTTTTTGTTAATAAAGAAAAATATATTTGTTTCTCCTGTGCTACTGGGAAAAAAAAGCACGCCGACACAAGATCATCTTGGCTGAACGCCCCTGACTGTGACCGTCATCAAACGTTAGCTTCGTCATTCTCCCATGAAGATGGCCTTGGATCAGGCCAGATACATCGTTTTTTCCTTTCAAAATCATGTTTTTTCGGTCTCGAGAAGTTAGAGTGCCTTTTCTTTCTTTCATTTTCTGATTCTCCGTAGCAGTTCAATGTCATAAGCACTTAAGGTCAGATCTCTTTAGGGATTACTTTGTGAGACAATAGGAAAGAACTCGTATGTTGTAGTGACTGAATGCTTGTACACAAAAGAGTATCCGAGTATATTTACAAATCTATCCGGTTCAACATGCAAAATTTAAGATATTAAAGAATGAAAGAAAGCATTGATCAAAGAACTCGAAAATAAAACTCTAGTGACACAAGAGCGTCATTTGACAAATATCCTGGAAAAATTTAGTCATTGGTGGAACACATAATTACAGGCGTCAACAAAAATTCCTCTTATAAGTTAGTAGGGTCGAAATGCTATTCCGAATATTAGTACAAGTTTGCCGAATCGTTACCATTTCGCCCGTGAGTATCGTTACTATTTCGCCCCATAATATAATTTTTATTCTTATAATTACCGGTTTCATACAGTGTATATTGAATCACCTTTGCTGCTTACTGCCGTTTGCATCAAGAATTTTTAAGATTCTCTGAATTGACATAGGTATTAAGAGACAAATTAAAAAAAAACAAATATTGTATTAGCGTAAATGTGTCTATTAGATATAAATACTGGTAACGTAAGATCACTTTCACAGCTGTGAGAAAATTCGCTTAAAATATAAATAAATAAAAACGTCCAATATTTTTATTTCCACTTAACGTTTCCCAATGGATTTAATCATGGAAATCTTTTGCATTATTTCGTTCAATGTAACAGAGTTCCTCTGGTTTAACGTAGCGGGTTAAAAATAATATTAAGGTCAAATGTCTTTAAATTGAAACTGCACGCCACAGGGGGAGGCAAATGTTTGTTTTGCTATGTTTTCTTTCATATCATATTATATTGCATTTTCCAGGAGTCAAAAGTTATGGAGAATTTAAATATCAGTTCTTTAACATCTATATATTACACTAAAATATACTCTATATAAACACATCTATATAAACATCTATATAAACAACAAATAGTTTTTGTACTTTGTCATTAACATTACCTGCCATACGTCAGCCTGAACTCTTCGTTGTTGTACGGATCATTTGACATTTTCCTCTCCTTATTTGACAATATTTTTCAGCGGAAGGTTAAAGTGACATTTTTATTTTATACGTTTATTTATTTGTAAATGTGAGGGAAGACTATTTTTTCCAGCAGAACTTTCTCTTTTTCTGTGATGACATTTTTTCATATGTTTATTTCAGATGCTGGTCCTGGGATCGACCAGATTTCATGTTGAAGAATAATTTCAAATCGCTGTTTAGAGAAACGAACGAACATCTTTCTTTGTCATTATCAATTCATTGATTTCTAATTATTACTCTCTTCCCCTCTCCTTGAAGCTCTTGCGGAAAACTGTCTTCTGAATGACCATTGTTTTTTTATTTGTATACTTAAGAAACAGATGTAAATTGAGTTCTCGTTTGTTAATTTTTGCACGAATTCCTTCTTTAAGTCTAATATCAAATTTATCTTCTAGGAGGATAATTTCTTACAATCTTAGCGATGAAAATAATAATAATAATTATCGATAAGAACTAACAGAAGCAAATTTCTTGCCAAATAGTATTTAAACCATAGAGCAATTAGATCACTTCTTTATTTTCTTATCCTGCTAACAAATATCTCCCGTCACATATCTAAAGTAAATAATCCTTGCTCCCTGGCCTTCCTGTACTTTTCCGTGTTAAATTATCGACCTATACATTGTTCTCATTAAGTTGCAATCAAACATTTCGGGTATTGGTTATTGGTTGATAGCATAAAACTGACTGACTCCAGTAAACCGACTGAAGGGTATAGTTGAAATTCACTTGAAATTTACAGTTTCATATCTTTCATTCCATTTGAAAGTTTTATAAGAGTTAGTAAATGAGCTGGGAGATACTGAACCAAAAAAGAAACTATCCATTTAACTAAAAAGGAATCTTTATGCTTTTAAAAAAATCATTGTTGCAATTAATAAATAGTTGTATTGATAACCAGTAATACTATTGATGCAATTATTTTAAATAATAGTTTATTACTGTATTTAATATTCATTTATTATATTAATAATTAACGAAATAATAATATTAATATATTTGAGGAACAATTTTTACTGTTTATATTTCACAGTAAAAGTTATCCCTCAGATAGTTTTATGCAAGGAATCAGAATAATTTTAAACGTATTTGGAATAATGAAAATACATATGTAATTTTAAAAAACGTGTGAACTCTTTTGTTGAACATAAAAACATCCCGCATTAAGTAATTAGCAAACAAATCCCCTTTAAGTGAAACTATCAGAGTGGTATTCAGAAGGTGATTAATGAAGTAGCGGTACGAAAGCATAACATAGATCACCCTGAAAAATGCTGATTACGAATATTTTTACTTCGTTCAGCGATAACCTGTTATTTTCGAACTACTAAATATTTCTTAGGTTATAAAAACCAAATGTCCTGTTTTACAATACTTTGAGCATTTCAAACTTACATTAAAAATACTTCTAGACTTACTTATAGCATATCGTAGTTTTCAATATAAGGAGTTAAACATATGTCAAAGACTAGAAATGCTTTAAAAACTTCATATATCTTTTCATTTATATTTGATTTTTCCTTGATTACAAATATTAGGCTTATTCAGTTAACTTTTTATTGTATAGATTACTCTTACTACTTACCCCCTTTTTAGACAACCACAACCAACCTGGAGCAGTGAGGCCATACGCAAATGGAGAGATGGAAAACATCAAGCCAATAAATATACTATCCAAATGGAACTAAGAACAAAGAGATATAGAAAGTGTTTTACTCCAATATTTAATTAATAATAATGTTTTACTAAGCAATTTCTGTAATAAAACTGTTGCTTAGAAGTGATTTATCACTTAAACAATTTATGTAATAAATATTTATTGCTTTATTGGTATTCATGTAAGATGCTAAAGCCAAAAATAATAGTTAATAATAAGAATAATAACTATAAGAAAAAGAAGAAAGTGAATAGCTTACAGTTAGCATAAGTTTGTTCAGATTCTTTTAAATATAAGCAAAAATCTGAAACAGTTTGTAGCTTTCCAAACGTTTTTTGATGAGCACGTAATATAGAGAGCAGATTTGTTTATAATATGAGAACATTTTATAAGATGTACGAAGAAATATATCCATTAAAATATCTCCAGATAATAAATGCCATATGATGATAATTAATATAATGGAGACAAAAATATCTTTTATAATATGGAGAAAAATATTTCTCTTAATCTATTAAAAATAGTTGGCTAATTCAAGGGAGAAATTGTAAGGACTATCTGTCTAAGAGAAGAAATCCTTGGAGCACTTTTTCAAAGAGAAGGTAATTTGTATTTATGCTAGTATTGAGGAAAACAACAAAGTTCCATGGAGCACTTTCCTTCTGTCTCAAGGAAATTTTATTTTCTTAAAAATTTTTCTGTGCCAGATTTCTTGATCGATGTTGGCTACCATTGTTGCCAGAAGCAACCTCCCTTATTTTTACAGTGTTACATTAATAATGAAATTTACTTAATTCCGATACTTGTTACTGAAATTCTGAAGGTAACAGTTAAGATCTAGTTCTCTTCGTTATCATAAAGTAAAATGATCTTACTAGGAAACCTGACGACTTCTTGCACAGGTATGAATAATACCAGCACAGAAGAAAAGTAAAACAAATCTTATATTATTCGACAAACTCTTCACACAAATGCACATACTTTGTGCTTACAATAACACCGACGATTTGCGGTGGAACTTAAGAATAATTTAACAATAAATTCAAAGATAAGTATAGGAGCTGAACTAACAATTTAGTTTAAGGCTAACTAGGCTGACTCAACAGCCTACTCGGCGATATACTAATTAAATGTTCAAAAACGCGTATCAGTAACTCAGGGTAACAAGAGTAAGGACAGAATAGTAACATGCGCAGGCTAGCGAAATCACGCTCTAAACTTCTAGATTCGTCTGTTTTTATATTTTCTTCACTTGACTTTAAATTTGCATCCTGGCGAGGAAATGCGAAGGGAAACTGACAGGTTCAGGAAAGATACCAAGCTTAAAATAATTTGTTATGCAAACTAAGGGAAATTCTTCAACAGTAGAAGTTGCAATAGGCCACTAAGAGTACTGAAAGTCTAAAGCCTAGGTTTTATCAGTGTCACCAACAGGATACTGGACAAAAGCGTAAAAGAACTTGAACCGCTTAATTTTTGTCCAATTAATGAATGATAGCTGAGGCTCGAAGATATTATAAATGTTCCAAAATATTTTCAACAAATAAAATTTTATCATACCTATTAACCTTACTTCCTGTTTAAGAAATAATACTGATCAGTGAGGGAAAGACTAAAGTACGTCTTCTATATTTGCCATTGTCTTATGCTTAGATTTATTAGAATTTCGAGTACAGTTATGTGCAAATTAAAGTGAACAAAAGATAATTTTGACGTAAGTTGATTTCCTGAATTTGGCAGACCTAATTTGCAGCTGATATTTCACTGCGATTACCCTCAGATGTTTACTGTTTTGCATTGTATTACTTTTAGGTGATTCAGTGTTGCTCTTTTAAAGTACCTGCTTTTGTTTGTTTTGGCTTTAAGGTTGAATTATATGTTGAAAAATCTGTATTGCAAGTTTTAAATTATGAACCTCCCTCTAAAAAAAAAAAAAGAAGTAAGATAGTGAACACTCTTCTTTGACACAGACGGATATTGCTAAAGTGTGTAATGTAACTTGAATGTTGTTAACAAAATTATTAGACGGTTTAATGAGATAAGTAGTTTATTACCCTAGCGGAGTAGAAAGTGTGAGAGAAAGCGAAAAAGTAATGCCAGGGATGACTCTGTTTTACTAAGGAAATCTATACAAAATCCTAGGTTGACAAGTTTTGGCCTCCAATACATTTAGCAGACTCAAGTATTCATGTTCACGACTTCACTGTTCGTCGTAGACTACTAGAAGCTGGTCTTAAGGATGTCCATCCTTATAAAAAACGACTAACTAAGCCAATGACTTAAAAAAAAAAAAAAAAAAAAAAGACTACCACGGGCAAGAAAATATGAAAAATGGAGTGAAAAACATTGGGAAAACGTTTTTATTTTCAGATGACACCCATTTCATTGTGCAAGGTCATTAGCATGTATTTCTAATTACAAAATTTCTTAAAGTAAAATGTGTTATTTTAGGAAAACAGTCTCTACAATATGGGTGGTGAGTAACGTGTAAAAGAGAATCTAATATTTTATATATCAGTGAATAAATGTTCATTATTCATCTGTATATAGTTAAAAGCACAATATTGGTTATTTTTACTTAAAAATTTATTAAGATAAGGTTAATGAACATTTTCACACGCATGGAAACACACACAGACAACTGTAAAAATAATAGTAATAACATGAAAATGAATAAAAATGAATGAAATAAAAATAAAGAAAATAAAGGGTTCATTTGCGAATACAATGATAAATGTTGTTTGGCCTAATTCGGAGTTATTAATTGCCAGAGCCAACTGTTTTATTTCAGCTGCTCCATAAATTTGTTCTTAAGTCTTGAAATTAAGTCGGTAGCAAGCATAAAAAAAAACGAAGCAAGTATATTCGTTATCGAAATCTTCATGAAGTTTGCTTGTGAAGGTATGAAATTTCTTGTTTTTAACCGATGGAACGCTGAAATATTTGTTCTGAAGGATTATATTTATTTATTTATTTATTTATTTCAAAAGATTTGCCCCACGCAGAGTATTAAAACTTTTAACAAAATTTCGTATCTCTAAAAATTTTTGTCTGTAGAAGTATACCTTTAAGGAAATACAGCCATAGCTATCTTTTTTGAACACTCTTTGTGCATAATAACAAAACGAACGCTGCGAATAGTAAATATTAAAGGTACTAAAATAAAACAACAACAAGAATCAGGGTAACTTGCGTAAGTTTGTAATACTGTAGTATCGAAGGTTAAATAGAACCTTCCTCTTTAGCTACAAGAATAAAATGGCACTTTCTGCAGCTGAAAAAGGAACTATTGAACCTTCAAAACTTCAGATTTACATAAGTACTTCAGATTCAGATTACACAGGTATTTACTTCTTCAAATCAGAATTACTTCAGATTCACTTCTTCAGGTCAAAATTACTTCAAATTTACACACATTACGCTGATTCTTGCTACTGCATATTAATATCTGTAACCCTTATGATAGAGAAGTCGAACACTCCTTAGAACACCTACGAGGTTGTTGAGTGGAGTCCTAGATCTGGGCCTTGTTGGCATAAGCGGCAATCAGACCTTGGCTCATTCAGTAAATTTTTAATCTACTTAAACCATTTAAGATAACGAATCTTTTTCAGAATGACCTGAAGAAGTGAATTCTTCAGATTCACTTCTTCAGGTCAAAATTACTTCAGATTTACACACATTACGCTGATTCTTGCTACTGCATATTAATATCTGTAACCCTTATGATAGAGAAGTCGAACACTCCTTAGAACACCTACGAGGTTGTTGAGTGGAGTCCTAGATCTGGGCTTTGTTGGCATAAGTAGCAATCAGACCTTGGCTCATTCAGTAAATTTTTAACCTACTTAAACCATTGAAGATAACGATTCTTTTAATTATTTTCCCTTTACCTTCTTTGGAACCGTTATCTTCTTTGGAAAATAATTCAACACAGGTTACTGCACTACTCATTATCTGATAATTAAGAAATGTTCCCTTGTTTATGACCGTCCTAAGTATAATCATTTTACTACTATAATCATTTTATCGTCTTAAGTATAATCATAAATCATGCGACTAAGTATAATCATTTTTACGGCAGAAGACGCGTCAAACAGAGAAAGGTCAAAAACAATAATATAATTTGGAGAAAATTATAAAAGCGAAGAAGAGTTGGTGACAGAACATTATAGAGTATTTCCATCACTTCAATTTCAGTATTTAAGTATTCAATCTGCCCACCTCACGAAACGGGGTACCAGTTCGAGCACTTATTTGGTTAGACATTTATCTTGCTGTTATACATTTATCTAATAGTAAATGACATTTTTGCAAGAACAGTAGACATACCTGCTTTAGGAGGGATGCCAGAGTCACAGACAAAAAACCAATATAGTAAAAAGTCGCGAAGATGATAAAGAAATATAAAAGCAGTCTTAAATTTTTGATCCACGAAAAAAGGTGCATTTCTTTGTAAGACAGTCTTCGTACTGAAAAAAAGAAAGTAAATAACATAATTTTAATTTTACTTATAATTTAAACACTATGCTAAAAAGCTTCAGTGTGGCTAATGAAACGCCATAATAAAATCAGCGAAAGTAAAGAAATAGGATATATGAAAAATATGTCTATAAATGGAAACATTTTTTTAAATGTAGAATATGAATTTCACTTTCAACTGCATAGAAGAATAAGCGATAATTGCTATTATCCCTTCGTACCATTTTGTGTGTTTTCAGTAGATAAGAAATTTATCAGGCTTCTTTTAAGCTGTCATGAAAATAAAAGGAACATGCAGCGCCATCTATGTGTCAAAAATGGAACAAGGGACCCAAACATATCGAGAATTAGTACCTTTTCAGGCAAAGGATTAGACTAAAACTTCGGATAGTTCAAACAAAAATTTAAAGCCGGAAAGAAAAAATAATTTAAGAAGAAATATTAATTTTTTACTAATTTGAATTGCCATATTTAATCGCGTATTTTTTACACGGCAAAATAAACGTTGTAAGCATCGTTTTTGAGAACAGTATTAAATGGAAGAAACTAACAGATTGAAACGCGCGTATGAATAGGCTTTTATATTTTAAGGAAATTAATTACAATTAGTGCTTTCAATGCTACTCATTTTACTACATATTATATTTTGCTAGTCATCCATATCTTACAAGTCGCTACAATAAAACAAAAATTTCTAACTGAAATAAGACCAGGGGCGTAGCTAGAGTTTCCAGCGGACAACTGAAGAATTTGCGCGCCTTTCTGTGTACCAAAAATGGAAAACATTTCATTAAAAAATTTACTAGTATCAGTTTGGCGCCCCTTGGATGCTGCGCCCGGGGACAGATGTTCCCTCTTGCCCCACTTTAGCTACGCCAATGAATAAGACAAAAGTTTTAAATCACGTATAAGAAAAGCTAAAGTAGGGGACCATAGGGAAAAGAAAAGTGATTAACTTTTTTTACGTTGGGTGACTGGGATTGAGAGATTTTAATTTTAATGTAATCTATTTACTACTTTTTTTTAAATCCATTTATTTTCCTCACAAACTGTTCGAGTATACCGCTTACTTTTCGAGATTTTGTCTAGTCTAGGTCCACTTTGTTATCCATATCCCTCTATTACGTAGCATGATTTTCAGACCTTCCTGCAAACAAGCAGTGGTCTTAAATATTTTTATAATAGTTAATCAATTTCTCAAAGGAAACTTTTTCGTTTGTGGAATTCAAACATTGTAAAATGTGGCTCCAAGCGGCGAAAGATATTGATCATTCTGTTCGAAAACATGATGTTTTTAAAAGTAGAAGTAGTTGATAAAAAGTTTCTTGTAGCCCATTTACGCGAAAAAGTTACAACTGAATACGTAATAAAAAGAAAAACTTGTCCGCTAACCGGTCAAACCTCCACGGGGCATGCCTCCCTTTCAGTGTAGTGCGTAAGGACGAAGCACGTAATAAATAATAAATAAATAAATAAATAAAAAACAAGACTCCACCCAGTGGCGCAGCTACATCTTTTACTACCCGGGGCGGTCCGTAAGTTTGTCGCTTGGGCCAGTCTGTGAATTTGCCGCCCCTACTGATATACAAACAATGGAGAGATAAATTAGTTTTTATTTTGTATGTTATTTACGAATGAAGTTAAGGAAAAATAAAGGACGAAGTTACATGCACGAAATTAAGGAAAAGTAAAGGAGGTACTGAAATAGTGAAAACTTCGGATGTCATATTTTCAAAAGAAATATCGATTTTGACCTTTACCGAATCCATATAGACTTTTTTTTTTTTTTTTTTGCTTCATGTCTGTACGTACGGACAGAATAAAGGTCTCTTTTTTTTTCAAAATGGATTTAAATTGGATTCAAAGGGATTTCCCCCCTTGGCGTTTGTACGTACAAATCTTGCTTAACTCAAAAATGGTTATCCACAGAACATTGAAATTTTATATATTAGACAGCTATAGCATATATTCCCAAAGGAATAACCCTTTATTTGGTATATAGAAACCATTTCGCGGCTTAAAAGTCCTTACCCGGTCCTTATTTTCGCAATCGTTAGTCGTAGTTATATACTTCTAATTACATAAGTGTTTGTAAGGATTATGTTAAATTTATTAACAGTTAAAGTTTTAAGTTAAGGTTCCTTTTCTGTCGATTCTTAACTTCAACTTACTACTTCCGGTGAGAGCGTAGTTTTAGAATCACGCCTGAATACATAATGAGGAGGAGTGGTATTTAAACCGCGAAGTTCTTCGGTCTTAGCGAGAGAGTTACCAGGTATTCTGTTTGCATGTGTCCGCCTTTTTAGGCTTCTCTCTCGTAAGCTATTATTACGCTCGGCCGTACTTAGGCCCTTGGTAGCTTCGCAGTCAGTTAGCATTAAGGGGCCAACTCGCTTAGAATCTTGATAGCTTTGGCTATATCTCTTTTTAGTTGAGATTAGTTTTAGTTTACTTCTTAGCCTCTTAAGTTCAAGCCGAAGTGTCGGCTTTTATTGCACACTCCAAGATGGAGTTCTGTTAAATCTTATCTGAATAATAAAGGGTTATTTACCCTTCCATCTTGTTGTTTCTTGTTGCACGAACTCAAGCGAATATTCTCTTATCAGTTCTTAAGATTCTTCACGTTCAACTGTAACTTAGCATTTACAAAGTGAGGCAATCTACATGTTTTAAATGACGAAAATATTCATTTTTGGCAATGTCAAATTAAAAACAAAAATAATTTTCGACAAATAATAAAATGAGCTTTAACGTGATCTGCCGGTTCCTATACTAGATAAAGTTTTATACTCGTTATGAAAAAAATTTAAATTCAGCAATTTTGACTCCAGTGCTAACCCAAACTCACCGAGAGATTTAAAGTTTGCAGTTTTTGGTGTCATTTTCAACTTGCTTTGAGGAATCGGTTAACTAAGAATAAATCGAGGAAATAAGTTTAAATGAAGTGCAGCAAAATGAGCGTATAGTTTAATAGGACAGCAAGGGAGTCATGTGGTGTCCACATCAGATTTTGTTTCCACAAAACCATCAATGACATTGCACAGGTCTACCCAGTTGCTGTTACGTAGACAGTGTAGAAAAATTTCTTAAATGCAAAATAAAAATTTGCATTTCCTAAATACCTCTTTAATGATTTGTATTTAGAAACTCTTCTGACAACAGCAACCACTTGCAACAATTCTGAGGAAAGTTCCCAAGCATATTACAATATTTGAAGCTTTATTCTGGAAATTGTTTAACTTCGTTATGCAGATTTTTCAAGGATCGCCTTTTTTTCGATCCTGGCTCGTTTTCTTTAGCAATAACGGAAGAAATGTACTTCTCTCTTAAGAAAGAATTTTTCCTTAGGAGAAGGAAGAAAAGGAGAGAAGGGTAAGGAATAATTCTTCCTTAAGAAAAAGAAGAGAAGGATAAGGAAGAATTCTTCTTTAAGAGAAGGAGAGAAGGATAATAAAGAATATTTCCTTAAGACGAGGACAGAAGGATAAAGAAGAATTCTTCCTTACTAATGTCACCGTGATCATAATTTAGTTCATATTCGTAATTTTCACTTAAAAGTTCCGAATGAGTAAAAAAAAGCATAACAAGAGCATGCAACTATTCAAATCTCTTCATCATTTCTTTTAATAGCTACGTCACTGACACCACCTTAGAATCATCAGGTAAAGAAAAAATTTCTAAAAGCTCGAATTGTAGGCGAACAAGGATGAAGAACAACGCAGGAAGCTTTGCAAGAAGATTTATTGCTGTGGACAAAGGGGAACGATTTACAAGTCTGCCAATAAGTCAACTAAAGCAAATTAACTTGCAAATCCTATAGATGCTTCCCCAGCAAATTTCTTTTAGAGTTGAGTTTACAGATTGTGTTTGATAACTCGAATAAATTTTCTAGCCTATATGAAATGGAACTGACAGAAATACGCTGTATGCAGAATTTTAATTGTTGAACACAGTAGAATTATTTTTATGGATGCAAATACGTTTAAGGAGCGTAGTTCACTTACGGTTTTATAAATGATTTTGACAGAAATAAAACGTCCAGATACGTTGAAATAAATTATCCAATGCTGCTGTTTAATAGATAATTTGGTTTTTATGTTTTTTTCGGAGCAGAAAATTCATTTTTCTTTAAGCAAAATTTTAAGCCACATTTAGTTTGACTGTAACATAGGAAACGCCGGTAGGGAACGCAAAAGTCTCCCCAAATTTATGTCTGGAAGAGGGACTTGAAGCATTAATGTTCGAATTTAATTAATAGGAGGAAAAACGTTTTTCTGAAAACGATCAGTTTTATAACTATTGATGAAAAAGAAAGAAATAGTAATCGAATTCTTATGACTGTCTGGGATGGAAATGCTTTTCTTATAAAAAAAAAAAAAAAAAAAAAAAATTAAGAGCAATTTTCGAGCAATTTTTTCCCCTCCATGAATGGAATTCCTAGACTTTTCTTTGAAGACCTGTTCAGATATGAATTCTTGAGGAGTTTATACCATTACCTTGTATAGATTATTAAACATTTTATTTCGTAGCAGGAAACGTGAAAAATGTGCACTGCCCTGCCGGAATAAAGCCATGGGCTTTTATACATTTTCAATTACATCACGAAGGCACGGGGAAAGAAGGAAGAAAATGCCTTGTACTCCTTTCCATAGGTTTCCTATGCAGTTATCCAACTAAGTATGCTTTCAAATTTCATATAAAGGAATACTAATTTTATATTCGGTGTGGTGGTGGGGGAAGAAATCAACTATTGCACAAAGTTACTGGACTGAGGATCATGTTTTCCTCTGCAACAAATTCAGTCTTCCTTAAAAAACTGGATTTTCTTCAAGCCTTTTTTATGAATAGAAATCATTGCTATCGAAGGGTATTCCGAATATATTCCTGTCGAAGATTTAATTTTATATACAGCTCCTATTTCCTTTCTGCTTGAAAGCTGACCGCTTTATTATTATTATATCTTTATAATAATCGCTTATCATTATCTTTA